GCCGCCCCGCCTCTTGCCCCGTCGCCGCCCTGTCGCCGCTCCGCCTCTCGCCCCGTCGTCGCCCCGTCGCCGCCCCGCCTCGGTTCGTTTTGCCTCGATTCGTTGCAACGGTGCCTCCAATCGCCGGACAGGCCCTCTTCCGAGCCTCGTTGCAGCGGTGCAACATGGACTTATAAGTCCCTGTAAACAAACAGGTAGGGACTCGGGACTTATAAGTCCCTGTAAACAAACAGGTAGGGACTTATGACTTATAAGTTGGGACTTAAAAAAGTCCTAGGACTTATGAAACAAACAGGGCCTAAGAGGATTTGCTTCACAAACATACTCCCTCCACCCCCATGCACATACCCCCTTCATCCCATGCGCATCATATTACAAACTGAGGGAGTACTATGTAGCGAAAAATAAAATCAATTTCAAAACATATCAAAATATTTTAATTTTTGTTTGAAAATAGTTGATATATAAGAATTTTAAATGCGAGTGAAATCTACAAAAAATAAACTTCGAAAGAATATTTTAAAAAACCATTAACCACATTAGATTGATGGGCTATTGCCTATTTCTTTCGGAAAGGAGGAGGCATCTCCGGCTTGTGCAACAACTACATATTTCTTTCACAAAAGAGGAGGCATCTCCGGCCTGTTTAACCACAAACTACAACAGACAACCCCACATAGCAACTTTTTAGCCTCTGTAGCTGGAGTGACAAGCGCGCTGCCACGCTCGGCTGAGGTGGGAGTGCTAGGTATATAAGCAGGTGCGAGTGATTTTTTTCCGAGGAGAACAACCATGTAATCATTCATAATAGCAGCAACATATAAAATAAATGGCTTCCCTCTGGAACACTCCGAAGAGACAACACAAGGAAATTTACATCATAATCACCAAAGAATCCAGCCGCTGTCTCGCTGAAGCGTTCGCCCGAGGAGAGCACAAACCTCCAACATGCGAAGATCCAAGATAGTGCTATAGCAACCAAGCTGTGTTATGAGCCTCTGAACAAAGGTCGCCACAAGTGGTGATGCACATGTCGATGTGGGTCGTCAATTGCAGAGATACTCCACACATCTTGGATCGTGGTCTTGAAGATCTCGAGTGGCAACACCACCTATAACTCCAGAACTGGCAACCATCTTCCATCTCCAAATCTCCCTGTGGACCATCCCTTGAACAAGACCGGCGATGCAGCATCGACCAATGCCAAGACACAAACTTCCCTGTGCACGAGGACGCAGGAGGCACAATGCAGATGAGCCGAAGAAACAAGAACCTGCGCAAGATCTCCTCTGCCTTCTTGAGGAACTCGCTGGAACAAAAATCCATGGCTCCTCAATGCCGTTGAAGAACGACGTCGAGGTGGTGGCCGGGAAAACTTTATTCGCGGTGGTGACATTGGCACCGACCCAGCGCAGTCACCCAAGACACCTATCCTATTCCTATACCTATCTACAGACCAGACGAAAAGGAACAAGGCTCCCCCACCCTCCCGCTGCCGCCGGAGCGACGAGCGGAGGGATGGGGAGACAACGGCCTCGCTGACAAGAAAAGCGGGAACTGCTCGCCCGCTGATCGTCTCTCCTAGGCGGTTGAGAAGGAAGCGGCAGAGCAGGTGCGAGTGCTACATGTGTAGGGAGGTGGTACTACTTCCTCCGTTCCTTTAAGCAAGGTGTATTTTTGTGGGCACGATGACCAATGCACGGAATTGAGGACAATTTTGGACAAAAATACTCTTAACTAATTAGGTAGTTGGGAGCTTAATTAGCCGCAACTAAATAATTTTGTGAAAATTTCTTCGTTCAAATATGCCAAAAATATCCTTTTAATAGAAATAGGATTTAAACTAGGGTTTGGGGTTTAACCCAAATTAAGTCATTTTAAACATTAAAAAAATAGGAAGGGTTCATCTAATATGAGGCTCTATCCAAATTTTCTTGGCCTTGAGAAGGGCATTTTGGACAATTGGCAACATTTTGTTTAGCCCTTTACGAAAAACTTGAGAGTTGGTTAGATCCTCTAAAATATGATGCCCATGAAGTAATTATAATGCACAGATCAATTCCGAAGAAACGTGCTAATTGTAAGCTGTTCCAGCACTGAGCTATGCAGATTATTTAGAACGACTGGTTGTTCATGGGAGAATATTTACTAAGTAGATAGCCCAACGGTGTCGAGCGACCCGAAGTATGTAGAGAAGATGCAAAGGAGGACAAGATCACACGAGAGAAATTATAAATTTTGAACTATTGGGATGTAATACAAGGCTTCAAAGTTATTTCTAGATTACTTGTGGACATGCTGAGATTCTTACAATAAAGCTCAAGGGGAGAAGGGCAGAGTGGTAGTGATGGGTGAGGGGGTAATGCAGATGACGTAGGAGCGCGAGCAGGGGAGGCCATGGGCTGATGGACAAGCTATAAGCAGTAGACCAATGAGCCAGGTGGACGGACTGGTCCACGAGCAACCGGACCAGGGATGTGTGGGGTAATGGTAGGTTAGGTTGC